GAGAGAGAGGAGAGAGAGAGAGAGAGAGAGAGAGAGAGAGAGAGAGGAGAGATGAGAGAGAGGAGAGAGAGAGAGAGACGGGAGAGAGAGGAGAGGAGAGAGAGAGAGAGAGATCGGATTACGAGAAAATGGTTATGGGGTGGTCCATTTCGATGTTTCCCCGCACTCGCTCACATTAGGCTAGGTATTGTTGCCCGTCAGCCAAATGTCGCCCTTATCGCCCTTGTCATCACTCCTGACCTTCCTTACACTCATGCCGCTAAACTTTCAGGGTTTATTCACGTAATACACCTCGGAGTAAAATAAACCAAATTCAAGCGCAGACCTCATGATTTACTAGACGCACCCTCGCTTCGATTTTGTTTCATAACAAAAATAACATCGCGCTATCTGTTACCCAAATCTAAACACCCGCGCAGCAAACCTTCCCATCGCGCAACACAATTCGTCGCTTCCGACCAGCCCTGACGCAATGATTCGACGGCGATTCGATTAAAAACTGAGCCCCCGAGTCCTATCGAACTACCCAATAAATTCGCCCAATCAACCCATTCTAAATCTTCACGGCTTCACGCTTTGTCTCCCCCCCCCCCAAAAAAAAGGAAGCTTACATGGTGTTGTCGCTATATGTGCTTAAATCCTTACGCTCAGCCCGAGAAAGGTAGCTCTGAACCATCAGCCGGTTGGTGCAAATCACGGAGTGAATATGTGAGGGACGGGAGCTGAATGATTGCATGTTGGCAAGGATTGAGCAGACTTCCTTTCTGTGGCAATTCTTACTTGAACGGCGTTGTTGACCGAGCCGGTCACCGAGAGGTCGATGATTATAGCAGTTTGTCCGTTGTCGATGGCTGAGAGCGTGCACTTTCCTCGACCCAGCTCTCGATCACTGTCGTACTGGATCTTCCCTCGTCAGCTGCTGCCCGTCGCGCTCCTCCCGTCGTACTCCATCCTCCGTGCACTCCAGTGTCCTGTGCACTCCTCGGTACCTCCTCCATGACTGCCTCGTTCCTTTATACCCAGATTACTATCGCGTTGGTGTTCCAGGTGTGATAAGCATGGCTAGATATTCGTCGGTGTGGCGTGATAGGCCTAGTATCTTTATCTGTATGATGACTCATGAGTGGCATCGGTCCTGGTCATTGACTTTCTTCCAGCTGGTTGTAATTGGGCCGGGTGCAGTGCTTATCACTCATTTGCTATCTTCTTGCCATCTGTCGTGCACACCTTTGTTCTGCTGGGAAGCTGAGGTACACTGTCCGGCGTCGGCGCTTTATTGCTTGGTTTGGTTGTAATCACGATATCTCGGGTATGTATGGTCCGCCATGGTCATTGAACTTCCCAGCTGTTCCTGTTTTGGCCGAACGCTTGTGATATTAGCGAATTCGTCAGTTATTACTCTGTTTGCTGGACGCTTATTTGTCCCAGCTGCCGTCCAGTATCAGAAGTCCCCGACCGTCGGCGTCGCTGCTCGTCAGGTGAATGCCAGATATGGGCATTGGCGTGTCCCACTCTCGGCACGGAACATCTGCTCTTCTGGACGTACATATTTGCACCTCCGATTCCACAGGGAGGGTGACTGGGACTTTTGGTTAGCATCTGTCGGCGGCTGATAACTTCGTCGGCGTGAGTGTAATTTTGATGGCTTGACGCTATATTTGCGGCACTTGCGGCATGATACGGCCCGAGGGGTCCCTGCGTCAGCTGTTTCTTGTTTGACATGCTCACACCGGTGTCGATCCACTAGGTCGAGGCGGTGCCGGTGGCGATATCCCAGGCGCAGGTGCAGAGGGTTGGCGCACAGGATGCCGGCCGATTGCGCTTTGGAGAGATAAAGTTCCGTTATGAGCTTTTCCTGTAGATGCGGGCGGGGAGGCGGCAGTGTTTACACCTCTGCAGTGCCAGGTGTAGCCCGTTTTTGACGTGGCCACCCAATTGGCGTGCGACCGATAAGAGGGGTCGGCGCTACGTCGGGTCCAGGTGGGGTAGACCATCTGCCGCCTGCGCCCTGTTGACCCGCGTTATCCATGAAGGTGTCGGGAATTGAAGCGCCGTTCTTCTCAGATGATTTCACTTTTACGTGTTTGGCTTTTAGTCTCACACCAATATGCATGCCTTATGATTCTGTCAATTCCTGTAAGCTGTGATTCGAAAAAATGTGGCTTCCGTCACATCATTATGGGAATGGATGTGTGTGTGCCAATGGCACTGGTTGCGTTAATTAGTGACTAATGTACACGCGATGCGTCCCGTGCGTGTTAGTTTGTATCCGCCCGTGTGTACCACTGCTCCGGTGTCGGTGAGGTACTGAGGTGCTGTAAATAGTATGTGCCCCCTGTCCCGTCCCCAGCTGCGAGCCGAGCCGGGACAGCCGCAGACCAAGGAGTTTGTCTATGACGCCGCCCACGAGCGGCGCCGGAAACAGCAGCTGAAGCGACTATTCAGCCGGTCGCCCAAACAGGTGAGACGGGCCAGCGGGTAGTGAGGTATCCCGTGTCAGCCGGTCACCCAAACAGGTGAGACGGGGCAGCGGGTAGTGAGGTGTCAGCCGGTCACCCAAACAGGTGAGACGGGGCAGCGGGCGGTGAGGTGTCCCGTGTCAGCCGGTCACCCAAACAGGTGAGGTGCTCGGGCTAGTGAGTGGGGATCAGACATTTGCTGTGGAGGTAGCTTTTACTTTTTGCGTTCAGATGGCCGGTAACCGCTAATACAGATGATTTGTGATGTTTGCGGCTGCCGGCTTTGTTTACAGTTGATGCAGAATACTCATTTTCGCCAATTACTTTTTTCGTATATGTGAACCACCGGCTTGGTCTAAGTTGTGCTCGTAATTGGAGACTTTATTGAAATGTATTCCAAGTCATCATCTGAACCAGTGTGAGCCACTTTTGTGCTGTGGCATTCAGGTCAACCGGTTTTGAAGCCCCTGGCCTCTGACCGGACCCTGTGACCCGCTCAGATCGACTGGGCGTTCTCAGACTAGCCCGGGACCCCTGACCCCTGACCCTATCTGTGACCCGCTCAGATCGGCTGGGCGTTCTCAGCCTGGCCCCTGACTCCTGACCTCTGACCTCTGACCCTGTCTGTGACCCGCTCAGATCGAGGAGGAGCAGCACCTGCTGGCCGAGCTGCGGAAAATCGAGGCCCGGAAGCGGGAGCGGGAGCGGAAGACTCAGGACCTGCAGAAGCTGATCAACTCCGCCGACACGGAGCACCGGCGACTGCACAAGACGCCGGGCACCGTCAAAAAGAAGGTGGTCCACGTGGGTAACAAGCCGCCCAGGGACCGGCTCGACAGCGCGGTACGTACGGCGAACGCAGCGGGGTGGGTGCGGTGAGTGGACGGACGGGACAGTGGACAGTAGACAATGAGTCAGTGTCCTCAGCACTGCAGTGCAACTAGTGAAACATGTCAGTTTATTTCTTTGGGAGGACGACGTGTAAGTGCTGTTGTTTTGGTATGAGTTGCTGAACACCTTGTGGCTACCCGTTTCGTTAGCTGCCGTGTTGTCTGTGTCTGTCGCTCTCCTGTCCGCTGGTGACCCAATCCCTGACCTGTGCGTCCCTCGTCCGGCAGTCTAGCGGCGCGGGTGTCTGTATGTGTCGCTGTCTTGTCCGCTGGTTGTCCACTCCCTAACCTGTGCGCCTCTCGTCCGGCAGTCGAGCGGCGCGGGTGTCTGTATGTGTCGCTCTAGTATCCGCTGGTATCCATTCCCTGACCTGTGGCCCTCTGCCGGCAGTCGAGCGGCGCGGGCGACGCCGGCGGCAGTATCAAGTTTCCGGACCTCCGCGGCAGCGGCGTCAGCCTGCGCTCGCAGAGGATGAAACTGCCGGCCAGCATCGGACAGAAGAAGGCCAAGGCCATCGAGCAGCTGGTCCAGGAGCTCGGCATCGGTAAGAACTGGGGCACTCTGGGTCGGCATTATAAATGTCCGAAGTCTGAATTAATGCAGCCGTCCTTCTGGCAGTCCTTCTGTATCAGCAGTTTTAACAAATTCATTGGGAGAAGATGTATGTGCATGGTAATGGCCTTTCCACTTCACGTTTTGGTGTCTGATGTTCGCTATGCGAGACCGGTTTACTGCACTGTGGTAAGGGGACAGTAGCTTGAACCACTACATAGACTAGGTAGGTAGGCCCTGTGCTTATGAAAAGCATTATGTTGGCGGATTAAAGGGACCCTCCCACCTTAACATTAGATTTGAGTTGAGATAGCCAAAATGGGGTCCCTGGCTCACAATTACCGGTTTCGGCACTCACAACATCGAGAAATGCCTTAAATCGGAAATATTGAATTTCAAAATTGCAGCATTTTGATTCAGAGGGGCTAATGCATAGGAATACCCCTCTGAATGTGTGACGTCAGCGCAGATATCTAACGATTTTTAAATGTTTGACTAAAACGTTTTGTAGCACGCGGTGGTATATGCTGCTTTGCGCGCAACAAGTGCCGCACTTTCAGCTGCCAAACTATTGCTTCCAAATAAAGTCGCTAGGAACAGCGGAGATCCCAAAAAGTAAACAAAAGTAAAAGTCTAATATCTTGAAAACCGGTGAATATTTTTCGGTGAAATTTGGTAGATATTCGTTTTCGCTCTTTCTGAACCGAGCGACATCACTTTCATGCCAATTCATAAGCTTTTTTGAAGGTGGGAGGCAGGGCTGCGGAGTCGGAGTCGGAGTCGGAGTCGGAGTCGGTCGGAGTCGACAGTTGTGACCGGAGTCGGAGTCGGAGTCGGAGTCGCTTTTAGAAACCCGATCCGGAGTCGGAGTCGGAGTCACCGAAAATCTGTCGACTCCGCAGCCCTGCTAGGTCTGCGGAGTCGGAGTCGGGAGTTGGAGTCAGTCGGAGTCGACAATTCTGCCCGGAGTCGGAGTCGGAGTCGGAGCTGGTTTTTGAAAGCCGGAGTCGGAGTCGGAGTCGGAGTCGCCGAAAATCCATCGACTCCGCAGCCCTGGTGGGAGGGTCCCTTTAAGTCTTTCATACGACGCAAGTGTATTGTGTAAGCATTGGTTCACCGCTAGCTGCTGCTTATGGTTGACATCATGAGTTCGGCTGAGCCCATCTGTTGTTCGACGCGAATGCATCTGAACGCACGCTGAGTTTTGACGAAAGCGAGCCCCTTTGGGTGGCAATGTTTCACCTTATTCACCCGTTCACTCCGGCAGAGATGAGTCCCATGCCGACCGAGGAGATATCCAGCCAGTTTAACGAGCTGCGGAACGACATGTTACTGCTCTACGAGCTGAAGATGGGCCTGAGCTCGTGTGAGTTCGAGCTGCAGACGCTCAAACACCAGTACGAGGCGCTCGCTCCGGGAAAGGTACGTGCGAGACAGCGTCTGGGGTGAGGATGGGCAGCATTGGATGGGAAAGCAGCGACAGGGGTGGTGCTTGTTCCGACATGGGAATCCGACTCACTCGTATAATAAAAGTATTAAGGCTTTTGTAAAAGGTTCGACGGCGTGACGGGTCTCATTCAAGTGAATATGTTTATTGTTGCAAAGTGTAGTTGCCGGCAACCCCTACTTGAACGTTTCCTGACGTGGTTCGATGCAGCGACTCTGCCTGATGAGATCTGACCCTCTGCACTGCCCCTCTCCACAGACGTTGGACATTCCGTCTTCCATCGCGCCGAGCGGGTTGGACATTAACCGGCCAAAGACCATCTCTCAGGTGCTGGACATTCACAGCTCGCAGGGCACACCCACGGTACGTGCCGTCACGCAAAAGGTGCGCTCCGTAGTCAGATGACGGCAGCGATGGTTCCAGCAGAGTAAAACAATTTAGTAACCGTTCAAGTAGCATCTTCACTCACCGTAATTTGTGAATGATGCAGTTTTCGTCGTATGGTTTTGTAATTGATACTTGTGAAGACGACATATTAACTACTTCTGGATCCCTAATCAACTTCTTTGCCCTTAGCCCCAATAAACAAACGATTTGTGTTACCATCGATTCAGGTTTGACGATGGCATCGCTTTTCGCGTTGCCTCCAATCGTGTGTTTTCCTAACCAGTGTCCTCTCGTCGACAGAGGAAACGGAAGGCGGCGCTGGAGCAGAGCAAGGTACTTCACAAGATCAAGGCGCGGACGTGATCTCTACCCGCCCTCGGGAGAGGGCTCACGCTCGCGAGTGGTGTTTGCGAACACTGAGCGCGGTTGGGCGCCGCCAGCGCCGGGGCAGTGTGGGCGTATCGCTCCGTGGGGAGCGGCAGAACATGGAAGCTGTGCACCGGTGGCCCCACGCCCCGTGAAACTAGGTTGGCAGTGGAGGATCCACGATCGACTCGGAAGAGGAGCTCTTCCGCAGTCAGGGCGCCCGACCCAAGGTCTGGAACCCGCTCGCGATACAAGACTGTCGGACTCCGAGCACAGTGCTCACGAGCGCAGTGTTTGAAAAGAAGTGAGTACCGTTCCGTGAGATGTGTTCATTGTGGAAGACTGCCGGCCGGGTCGGCACAAGCCCGTAATGACGGACGCGAAGGCGACCTCTGAAGAGCGCCTGTGGTCTGGAGTGTACCATCCTCTGCGCCACAGCAGCCAATACAGACTCGCGACTGTACTCGTGTGTATGTTTATTGATATCGGCGTGGGCCGTCGCGCCTCTGGCCGGGCCGCCGCGGCCGAACGCGCTCCCTGAGTACGACCGAGGTCGGCGGGACGGGCGCACCCCCACTGCCCCGCCGCGGCCTGTCCGGGCGCCCCCGGCCGCCCAGTCACAGGTAAAACACTGCCTCACACACTCTGAATACTGGTCTACTGCGGCGCCGTCCGGCCGTCCGGCCGAGCCGCCCCGCCGCGGCCGCCGGGACGAGCACCGCCGGCTGCCGCGCTCCACACAGCTCACACGTAAGCTCTCGATCCGACACTCTCACCTAGTTCTCACACTCGCGCGCGGACGCGCCCCTCTTTGGCACTAACAGGTGCTACTCGGTGACACTCGCTGCTCCGTGCACGTCCCTGCGCCCGGTCATCACTCAAACGGTCCGCTGGCTCCCACCACACCCACAACGCGCTACCTACCCAGTGAAATTGCACAGACATTTGTGAAAACACGCTAACCTACACAGTAGACACGGATATAATACACATGCAGTACGGACGGATGCACTGGAAAGATGCGGGGCTGCTGCGCGGAGTGGCTGGCCCCGGTCCTATCACATACGGCCGGCCGGCAGTGGCTCGGCCGACCTCCCTCGCTCGCCGGCAGAAATCGCACGGCCCTCGGTGGTTTCGGTGTCGCTGTTTTGGTAACTGCTGATCCTCTGATCGAAAGACCCCTCACATTCCCTCTCCACAGGAGACGCCGACTCGGCATTATCCCCGAATCCGATGTCGCGCCCTGGTGAAAAAGTTCACCCGCAGTATGAGTTTAGCTCCGGCGGCGGAGCAGACTCCGTCCCTGCGTCCTCTCTGGCCCACAGCGGCTCTCTGCAGCCGGCCGGTCACCCGGGACGGAACCGCTCGCGCTGGCCCTCCGTGAGCGGGATGTAGCGCGTCTCTGGGCTCTCCCAGGTGGGGAACAGGCTGCGCAGGAAGCCGAACCGGTGGCCGCGGCTGCGCGCGGCGCGGCCGGCGCCCGGTGGCGGCGGCACCACGGCCCGGCTGGGGATGTAGTCGGCGGCCGGCCGCTCGAACAGCTCCGGCGGCAGGTACTGCACGTAGTAGACGGGCTCCGGGCCGGGCCCGGCCGGCTGCGGCCGCAGCCCGGGCCGCAGCCGGCGCGGCCGCGGCCGCCGCGGAGCCGCCGCGATTGTGGCGTTGGCGCGCGCCCGGCCGTGGATCCCGATCTGCCGGCCGCGGCGCGGGTACTCGCCGCTGCTGTTGGTCACGCGCGCCAGCTGGGCGAGCGAGGGCCGCGCCGGGGACAGCGCGCGGCCCTCGACCCCGGTCTCCCCGGCCACCCCGCGGATCACAATCACACCGAGGTCGTCCGGGCCGCGCACCGGCTTGGCGCCCTCCGCCACCGTCTCGGGGGTGGGTGGCGGGTCCGGGTGGCCCGTGCTGTTGTCGCTCTCCTCCTCGTCGTACTCGTAGTCCTCGTCGTCGCCGTACTCCTCTCCCTGGTCGCCGTCACTCTCGTCCTCCATGCGGTGTTTGGAATGGTCGGCGGGTCGGGGCGGCTGGTCGTCTAGCTCGCCGGTCCGGCCCGGCAGGCCGTCCGGGTTGAAGAAGGCCTGGTCGCCGGCCGGCCGGCGCGGGTGCGGCCGGGACGACAGTCGCTGCAGCGCGCCGTCGGCGGCACCCAGGCTCCGCACGTGGTTCGACTGGACGTCCTCCAGTGGGGGAGGGTCGGGAATCGTCTGCCAAAAGGAGGGGGACTCGTGTTACAGAGGCGTCCTGTGTATGCATTAATCGTGGAAACATTCAAGTACGCGCTAGACGGTGCAGGACTATTTATATCGAAAATATTGGTTGATAATAACAATCGATGCATCACTATTGGCAGCACTGGCCACTGCCCGATGGTCTGGGCGCCGTCTCCTGTCTGTATCCCCTATCCTACCCTATCCATCCCGCTGCTCTCACCTCCTCGAGACTGATGGGCGGCAGCTGCGGCGGCTTCTGGGGCGACTTCCAGAAGCTCTGGTTGGGCCGGAAGGAAGAGACGCGGCAGTTGCCGGCGCGCAGGTTCAGCAGCACCGGCTTCCCGTCCGGCAGCACCATGTTCCGCTGGCAGTAGGACATGCTGCAACGAGACGAGCGTATCGTTAGATGAGCGGACCAGCGCCACCTTCCCATGTCTGGCAGAGGTGGCAGCCGCGCGGGCACGGCGGCAGTGCCAAATGTCCGCTATATTTGCCGACATACCCACACGCATTGTCGGTGGGTAAACGGGGGCGGTCCTGCGTGCGGTACGTACTGAGCCCACCCTCCAATCGAGGCTGAACAAATACATCAATCACAGCTCTCCCAAAGCCAAACACACGCGTGTGGCCGGCGGCACGCTGCCTCCTCACGGTGTTCCTAATTTCCATGTAGCCTGCGGCGATAGACACAAACGTGACGCGTCATACGCAATCCAGGCACGCGGCTCACTGGGTCGGGCGCACTGCACAGACTACTTACGTGAGCCGAATTACGATTGCCTTTTCCCCAGGCAGTCAGTCCTTCTGAATGGTATCTGCTTTTCTAACTGACTCTCCTACAGGTTCACACATTGGTCCTTCATTTGTCCTCCCTGTCCGGCCGCCTCACCTGTGCCCGAGGCTGTTGACGATGGCCACCTTGTCGATGCTCCAGGCGGGCGCGCCGCTGTACAGCCAGCCGTTGTAGGCGGTGTAGCGCAGCTGAACCTGGTTGATGTGGTGGAACACCGGGTGGGCGACCAGCATCCGCACCAGCGGTCGGCTCACGTCGTCTCCGTCACTGCTGCGGGCGGGGGATACGGGGCGTCACACCGCGGAACGGGGGGGGGGCGTCACACCGGGGAATGAGGGGCGTCACACCGGGGAACGGGGGGGGGGTCATATCGAGGAACGGGGGAGGATCATCGTCACGACTTCAGAGAGATGGAACAATGCGACGATTATTATCATTTTGTCTGGCGCTCTTGATACTTATTATAAATTCTATCTTTGTACGTCTATGGGTGAATATGCCGCGTGCATTGTTCACGCATTGACCTGTGGCAGGCCTTCCTGCGTATATCCACTTACTGTGTGAGCGGGAAGGTCTCGTTGTAGCCGCTGCTGGAGATGAGGGTGACCTCGACCCGGCCGTAGGTCGCGCCGTCCGGACCGCCCCGGCCATGCACGGTGACTCGGTGCTGGTTGGCTGTAACGAAACGGCCCGGGTCAGAGGTCGATTAGAGGTGGCCAGGAACAATGGTCAGCAGAAGGCCGCTGAGAGATCAAACAGAGGTCGTCGGGGGTCTGTGTGAGATATTACTGGACAAACAGAGACCGTTGGGAGGTCAGAGTTCACCGATCGGTGGGTTGGGGCACATCGACCGATACCTACTGGGCGGGCACACGTCTAGGTCGGCGGACGGACAACGCCGGGACTCGAGAGCCAGCACCGCAAGATGATTTCGTTATAACCAAACAGAACTTCTTGTGTGCCGGAGCAGTACAGCACAATCCAGAGTGCAAAGTGACAGAACAGCACACAGTGATCAAGCATGTAAAGTCTATGATCTAAGATATCGGTCAATATCAATTAGCTATCGCGCTCGCATTGTGTCCCGTTGTTCCCCAGCACGCTCGCTCGCGCTGCAGCTCCAGTTCAGTTCGCTGTCGGGTAACATCTGTCGCCGCAGCGGGCGGCGGCCGGCGGCCTAGTTCGGTCGGAGGCGGGACGCGTGTTGTACGGACACAGTTACCGGTCGTGCGGCGCAGTGCCGCGTGTTCCCAGCCCCGGCAGCCGTGCTAACCGACTGACGGCACACGGCTCGGCGTCCAGACATCCAAGCTGAATAGGCACCGGCCGGGGGCTAGTCCGGAAAAGGGAAGACGGCACAGGACAGCACAGAACATGGCGGACAGGAAGTAAGAAGTGACGGACGAGACGAGTCCGGACAGGGCAGGACAATATAGGATTGGACGAGACATAACAGAACAGAACGAATGAGAACAGGACGTGACGTGACGTGACGGAGCATGGGCCAGGAGAGACAGCCTCGTGACGCGCCCACACGGTCGTCGTGACGTGACGTTTCGGCCCTGCCGCGCGCGGTGCGCCCATCTGGGACGGGCGTGGCGGCGCGAGACGCCTCACTGGCTGCATCTGCCCCGAATGTTCTCACCAGTCATGTTCATCTCAGTTTGTAGGGCAGGGATTCAGTGTAGAGCTGATCGTCTAGCTCCAGCCGGTCTCTAAAAGTGTCGCCTATTTTTAAATGTATCTGGACCCGCATGACTCCCTGGCTATCGGTCAGCCGTAAGCAGGAAAGTCGCAAGGTCAGATCAGCTCAGCGCAACTCTCCGTTCCCATCCTGTGGGTTGGCTGAGTCACAGCTGGCACAAAGTGAAATGGCTGCGAGGGTGGCTATAATACGATTAACACTGAACAGTCAACGCAATCTGGAACAGACGTTTGAAAGACGAGATCATGATAGACAGAAATCGCATCGACGACTCTCGTGGCCCGCAAAGCAGCTGTAAAAGGCGGTCAGTCGGCGCCCGTCAGCCGTCACCAAAGCCGCAGTGCCTTACCGCAGAAGGGCTCGTCCTCTCGTGTGATGAGGTAGAGCTTGCCTCTGGCGCTGAACCGGTCGGCGTAGTAGCCCATCTGGCTGCACGGCGAGCTGGGACCGCACGGGAAACAGTCGCCGGCCAGCAGGCTCTCGTAGCTGTCACACGGGGTGGCCGGGAACGTGCAGTTGGCCGAGATCGAGTCTATGAAGAACCGGTACGAGCGGCGGTGGTTGCACAGCGAGCGGCCCTCCTCCGCCTGACTGGCGCCCGCTGCACAACAGGGAAACATGGGGGGAGGGGTCAGATGGGGCTTGAACAGGGACACACAGGAGGTCAGATGGGGCTGGAATAGGGACACACAGGGGGTCAGGCAGGGCTGGAACAGGGACACACAGGGGGTCAGGCAGGACTGGAACAGGGACACACAAGTCACAACTAAGTTAGACGAGGCTGGACTGGAAAACGGACTCGCATGGGTCAGGCGGGCGGGACTGGAAAAGAGACAAACGTCGGGCCAGAGGGACACAACACATAACTAAGTCAGGTGGGGCTGAACGGAACACACACGAGCTCAGAGGGAACTGCGCATGCATGCATGAGGTCTGACGGGCTGAGAAACGAATGCACATGGGATATTTCACAGAAGAGGGACTGCAGAAGGGGGATGAGTCATGTCATTTGTCACTTGGGGTAGCGGAACAAACTTTTGCCAATCACTTGTTCGTGCATGAACATGTTAAGGACAATTTAGTGCCCTAAATCAACCCTCGCTTGACATCAACATTTTCGCGAGGCATTGCCGTTTCCTGAAGACTTTACTGAGGAGACGTCATCTCACATTTCAGCGGCGAGCGGGGCCGCAGTCCGATTCTAAAATGGGTCGAATGTGAAAAGGCCACCCGCCGCAAGGCGAGCGATGCGCAAAAACTGAATCGTTGAAACGATTCGATGGCCGGGTCGTAAAAACGAACCGACCTGACGGGCAGCCGGACGAGATTAATAAGAACTTGATCGACAGCTATCTCAATAGATAGACTATCGAAGAAGGTTTTGATTTGTGCCGCATGCCACGGTTGTCAAACAAGGGGCGTATAGTCACCGCAGCTGAGTGCATTGCTCTCTCAGAACTTCATCTCCAAGCTGCCGCCGTCGGTTTGGCTCTGCAGTATACATGCATACATCACTGAGCATCCTCCTTTCACTCTCGGCATGTAAAACGGGTCGCCGTCCCGAACGCTCGGCACAGTGCCGCCAGAAGCCGTGGAAACTCGGCCCTGCAGGTCGGGTAAAACTTCACATCATCTCGTGAAACCAATGCAGAACTGGTTCGAAAACAAACGATCGTTATCAGCCCCATCCGCCATCGAATGTCGAGTAAATGTCATCCCTGACCAGAGTAGACTTTTAAACCGACTCACGATCCAAATAAATCTCACGAAAAGAAACCCACACTGCAGGTGAGGAGTTTCCTCCGACATCCGGCTCACAACATGGGCATCCACTCCTACCAGATCAGACCGCTGAACGTAAATGTCACACGGGATGGACGCCAACTATCACCAGATTGTATGTAGTCGCCAAACACAAATCGCACCTGCATTCAACAAAGGCAGTCATCTAACTAATGTAACTATTAGTAACTATTAGTTACTATTACTTACACCAGATGAGGTCGCTGAAGGCGCCCAGGAAGAGGTTGGTGCAGCCCTTCTGCATGCGGCCGCCGTTGGGGTAGAAGTCGACGTGTCCCAGCTGGTCCCAGGTGCCCAGGCCGCCGCGCAGCAGCGAGTCGCCGTTCGAGTGGATCACGTCCACGAACTGCGCGTCGCTGGCGTCCAGTCGGGCCGACGTGGAGTAGCCCTCGAACAGCGGCCCGGCCGGGTCCAGGCCTGGCGGACACACGGTGCGGCGTCAGGGCAGGGCATAGTGGGATCGGCACAGGTCACAGGGGGATCAGCACAGGTCACAGGGGGGTCAGCACAGGTCACAGTGAGGTCAGCGCAGGTCACAGTGGGTCGGCACAGGTCATAGTGGGATCGGCACAGGTCACAGTGAGGTCAGTGCAGGTCACAGGGGGATCAGCACAGGTCACAGTGAGGTCAGCACAGGTCACAGGGGGATCAGCACAGGTCACAGTGGGTCAGCACAGGTCAGTTCACGGTGCAGCGGCCACGATCGTGTCAAATGATGCAAAATTGGACTTTTGGCGGCTTCATTGCAATCTTCAGACACTTGGTGGGCCGTTAAGTGACGTTTACCGTCTTTCTAAACGTGGTCTACGAGCCCATCCCGATTGAGCCGGAGGCGTGAAACCTCCGAATCTCGTGGACACTATGCCTTCAGCCTTGGATTACTCATATCATATTATCCCGACGCATGTGAAAAACACATTATTAAGCCCTGGTCACGTTAGCATGCACGGCAGTATCCTACCCATCTGCATTTCTCTCCACCAAATCTCATCGGTGGCTGCGATAAAGACTATCCTGACTGCGATAGGGACTATCTGGGTGCTAACAGCCAGAGGGTGAATACATTACCCGGCCATATCTCGGCTCCTTCCGTCCACTTTCGCCCTGTCCCGGTGGTCGGCAGAACACGCCCTGACCTCCCGCGCCGTCTCACAGCCTGCAGTGTGTCGTCGCCGTGCAGCGAAAGCCGCCGCCGCCGATACGCGGCTCGGTGCCGTGACCCGGGAGGTGGCCGGCGGCGTCTTTTCGCTCTGACGAGCCCCCCGCGGGCGGCGCGGCGGCGGGGGCCGGGCACACGGCGCGCCAGGCCGCGCCCCGCCGCCCCCGGCACCGCCGCCGTGAAAGCAGGCGAGTGACGTGTCGGGAAGCCCACCCGTAACCGAGCTGATCACCCGAACTTATCGTCGATACCGTCACAGCGAGAAACGGCCTAATGTGTGACCGGGACAGATCATATAACGGAACTTCAGATATTCTTACTTTTTATGCTAAGCGTCTTACCCAGGAGAGGAATATTGGCAAGAAATGTATGCCTACGAAACGGCTCACATGTGCATCCCAAAGCCTTCACTAAACGGTTATTTGCTTTGTGAAGCCGGTGTTGTAATGCCATTGGCAATCAAATACGGACCAATGAGACGACGTTACACCAAATTATTTGTGTTCAACGTTTAACTGTCCTTCCGTTCATTGAAGGCACCAGTACCTACTGGACGTTGTGTTTTGATGTTTCTCTTTGCGACACGGTTTGAACTGTAAACGATGAAATCATTAAATGTTCCAATCAAAGGTTAAGTTGAACTTTGAGTTAGAACAGAATCATTACCAAATTTATTTCATTGAGACACGCTTTTCGACTTTAAAAATGTAAATCTGTTTCAGCGAAACTAAGAAACGTTTTAATTTCGCTAAACTTCGGTCGCAGTTGTTTCATTTTGGGTAGCTGCTAAAGCAATTATGATGAATTTAGATTGCAGTTGCACATTTATCGACTGATTTTATACTATAAAATCTAGATTGACATATCCTACCGATAATGACCTCAATCTCAAAGCGAAATGCTTCGGCATTAGCTCATTAGGAATAACTACAAGCACACATACCAGCGCGCTGGCCTGCCGCGGGCGTAACTGGGCGACGCGTGATTGAATGCCGGTGTATCCAGACCAGTTTTTGTTTCTGTGTCACTCATACAGCGATATAACGGGCTGGGGCCCAGGGTGGCGGTAAGGTCCACTGAGGAGGAGGACATCGGGTCAGGGTAGTGGTAGCGGCGGCGGCTGTACCTACGCAGTTGGACACTCAATACCGTCCCTGAGCCAATCATGGGTCACAGGGGCGTGAGGGCTGCACGGCGGGTCGGCCAAGACCCGGCGGCGGCGGGATAGATGATCTATGGCGATTGTGCAGCCTCCTCGGGCCGCGGAGAGAGTCGCCCCTGCGTCCGAGGGCGACAGGGGCCGCGGGGCAGCCCGGCGGTCGGCTCTGGAGCGCAGTCGCCGGCACCGGTCGCCAGCCCAATCCGCCGCGCCCCTCCACCCAGCGGCCAATAGCCTATTAGGATTTTCACTTTCGGTGATGGCGCTTCCCGGGGATGCGAACAGCATCCCAGTAAAGTTTCACTTTTACTTTTACTCGCGTAATGGACGATAGGGCATGTTCGGGACCGCTCATTTTCGGCGTCCAGAATTACCGTCACACCGAGCAGATATGAGAGGGCATGACTAGCCAAAGGCGGCCGGCGGCTCGCCGAAGCGCGCACACGGTTCCCAGTAGTCACGTGGGATTGTCACTGTCAGTGGACGACTGACGCTGATAGAACTGAAACGCCTTCAACTCGGTCTCAGGCATCTAATCATGCTGCGCTGAATGTTTGGTAAGTTGGATAGGTATGAAAGTTGGATATTGAGCCGTTATAAAAATTAAAGAAGCACTCCCGCGACCTGGTGGGGGGGGGGGCTATTTTTTGCCCCCCCTCCAGACTTTTCGATATATCTCCAGAACCGCTGCGCCGATCGTCACCAAACTTTCAGTACCCTCCCGGACATCAATTTTACACATTGTGGCCAAAAATTTTTCCAAAAGCTATGATAGGTTGGCCGGAAATGACGTCAGAGTGACGTCATGTTCTGCCGTTTTCGACCCAAAAAAGGGTTTCGCGGGAAGAGATGTCAGGCCTATAGCTTTGCAAATACAGAAAAATGTTTAGGACATAAAAGCTGTAGAATTGACAGGGCTACAAAACTGCTATCTCGGATTTTTGATTTTTTTTGATTTTGACCCCCAAAAATAAAAAAATTGATTTTTGGGATATAAAAGTCGAAAAATCCAAAAAGTTTTTAGAATTTCGCAAAAAACCGGAATACATGTGATAGTCCTTACCGCCTTCCATCCACATACCAAATTTTAGATTGATACCTCTTTTTTTGGCGAAGTTATAGCGAAAAACTGTTCAAATTGATAACGTGAAATTTTCAAACTCAATTTTTAGCAATTCTAGACCTCGTAGTGCAACACAAAGACCACCATTAGACTCCCCGTGACGAGCTGCATCGAATCGATACCCATTTTATGCAAAAATATCAACTTTGAAATTTGACCTTTTTTGACCTGACCTTGACCTGACCTCCACCAGAAAGTGACCTAAATCGTACCTGATGGTCTTATAACCAACACCATTGGGTTGGAAATGAAAAACTGGCCATAAAACATGCATCGCACAACCTTAGTAAAGTTGGGTTCATGTGGTGACCCTTGGTGACCTTTGGTGACCTGACCTGTGACCTGACCTGGTATGACCAGTGACCTCTAATAGCTACATATGTACTAGACAACTGACGTCTTATCGCTGATTTTCGACAAAATGCGTTTTACTCGGTGTTATAGCGCTTTCCCTAGAAGCCCCGTGAACGGTGAAACATTTTATCTTTGACCTGACCTGTGACGTCATCGGTGACCCCGAGGTCAATAAAATTTGGTTTCCTTCGACAAATTTGACAGGGCTATCGAACGCCGTTTGAATTTTGCGGATCCGTCCAGTAGTTTCGGAGATACGAGGGGGGCAAAAAATAGCCCCCCCCCCCCCCCCACCAGGTCGCGTTATAAACAGACCCCACCAGGGCGCGGGTTAACAATATTACTAAATGCCCTTCGTAACACGATTTTATATATTTACCCTTACGTACCATTTCATATTCAAGATATAACTTCTTTAGGAAGGCCTTATCTCGCTGCTATAAATTAGAAGTGTACGGACCCACTTTTGAGCTCTGATTCCGGCACCTTTTACTTGGTCTGATGGTGCGCCTTGTTGCTGATTGCTTCAAGTTCAACAATAATATGCATTGCATCGGACAGGTGCTGGAGTTGATAACGTCACGATTCTGCTGTGCGTAGATGGTTTGGAGTACAGACAGTCACAAACCTGTGTAGAGCGTCACAGAGCGGCACTGACCTCTGTAAAAGGGTGCGGAGTGTCTCAGGTCCGCACAGTGCACACGGTTATCAGAATGGCACCGACCTGGTCACCAGTCAGATGAAGACCTGACCTGACCTGACCTGAGTCTGACACAGGCTGATTTGTTCGGGTCGGGTCAGGTCATGAGCTGACTCGGTCTGGAGCGGACCTGGCCAGATCAGGACATGACAGGGCTGCCATAGGATGCGTGGGCTTGGAAAGTGGCCAGGACAGACCGGGCGTGGGTCTGACGTAGGGTCTGGCCAGGTCAGGCGCTGGCACGGCCTGGTACGCCGGCCGGCCGGTGAGAGGGGCCGGCGGCGATATCAGCGGCCGCGCCGCGCCGGCGCCGGCAGGGTGCAGCGAGCGGCCGATCGGCCTGACCTCGGCAGAAGAATAGCCACCAGGGTGACCGACTAGCCTTGGAGATGACGACCGTTGCGCCACCGGGAGCGAGCGACCGCGGCCGGTGGCTCCTCGAGTGACCTTTAGCCGAGCGTGTGTAACCGCGAGTGCGACACCGACGGGCCATCGGCACTCTGCACGGCCCGGCCCTCCGAACTGACCCAGATGAGGCCAATCGGGCGCCGCTGCGCCGGCCCGACCCGGTCCGTGACGGGAGCCGCCGGCGCTCAGCGGCGGCCGACTCGTGACGACCCCCGCGGCCTTCCTCACTCGTGACAGCGCCCGCTACCTCACTGACAAGTCCGCTGCTTTACTATCTCGTGACGGCGACCGTTACCTCCCCGTAACGCCGATAGCGGTGACCGCTCGACAGGGGCAAGACCAACGTAGGTCCCATCACACGTGACCTGCTGGGCCCAATCTTACCAATGCCGAAAATAGGATTTGGCAGCACTGGGCGGAGTTTATGGCACTGATATCAAAGACATCCTTTCTATTTATATCCAGCTAATCTTGGCTAATGGCTTTGATAGCGTGAATGATTATGAATGTTGCCTGAAGGAATGAATAAGTGAATGTGGAATAGTTCTGAATGTTACCAAATGCCGTGAATGCGCATTCACGGTATTTGGTAAGATTGGGCCCTGGTCAGGTCAGCTGGAGGTCATGCGGGTCGCCAGGCCGCCTGCCGGATGAACCGCGAGTCCCGCCACAGAGGGCACCGGTCACGGGGATGGGAAGTGGCTGACGTATGATCACACGCGACAGTCGGCGGGCGCTTCCTGGTCACGCTGACCCAGCCTCGACTGACGCGTCTGCTAATGGCTCTTCTTGCCTCACAGGTCAGACAGAGACCCATATCGGCCCTATCATTCCTGTGCTAAAAGTAAGCGTGTGTACAAACATACTGACTCATGGCTGCCCTAGAGTCACTGTTGCTGTTCGCCAAGGCCGATTATTTCGCGGCTCGCTGGCCGCTGCGGGTACAAATGCCGTTTATACCGGCCGGTTCGAGGACAGCTTAGTCCGGATTTGTTTCGACACCTTGGTGCTGCTCATCTGATACACAAGGACGTGTGTACGTGCTGTAGCCGGTCCGTGCAGCCGAGCCGATTACCTCACGGTGGTCAGCTGGTGTTCGGGGTGCAGAGACGAGCCGCCGGGCCCGGCTGGTGCCCGGCCGGCGCAGAGACGAGCCGCCGGGCCCGGCTGGTGCCCGGCTGGTGCAGAGACGAGCCGCCGGACCCGGCTGGTGCAGAGACGAGCCGCCGGGCCAGGCTGGCGCAGAGACGAGCCGCCGGACCCGGCTGGTGCAGAGACGAGCCGCCGGACCCGGCTGGTGCAGAGACGAGCCGCCGCGCCGGACCCGGCTGGTGCAGAGACGAGCCGCCGGGCCCGGCTGGTGCAGAGACGAGCCCTCGCCCCGTCCACAAATGAAGACGACACGGCACGCGCAGCGGCCACCCGGCGTGACCGAGTTACCAGAGGTGCGGGTATATGGTTCAGCTTTTTGTAACGGAGGGTTTTTGTGTAGGCTGGTCTGTCATAAGCAAGCAAACTAAAGATCGATCCGCGTGTCTCTCATCTACAATTTCGAAATGTCCAGCGCTGGCAATCCCATATCATTCGACTATTTATAGTGCCAGGCGCGATTGATATATCTGATTTAGAATCTATTGTGGCTGGTGCTCATTTCATGGATAGGATGGATATAGCCGGTTTTCGGGGTTTCTCAATTGGTGCGTTTACTGTCCATTCATGCATTGTGTATGCGGATCTCAAGACGTATACGCTCCACAAAGATGCCTTACTATTCCGTTCGCGAATCAGGCTCAATGCCAATTTGCATGTTGCCAAACAGCATGCTTTCACTGGCTGGCACGGCACCACGGTGGCAACGGGTTCTCATTTTTCACACAATGACGTGCGGCAGCGGCTGACAATATGATGGCCGATCTCCGCGCCTGTTCCGAACATCTCAGCGCCACTTATAATGTAAATTTAGGAAAAAATTTACCCTCAAGTGCTCAATGGCTTCGCTCGTCTTTCAATGACCATATGGCAATTTATGTTGCTAATAAATAAAATAAAACTGCACAGACTGCAAATGCGTTACTAAATAGCCTGGTCATACCTAACTTACTATGTATATCTTGCCTTACCACTCACAGTCAACAACGGTCAACCAATTTCGACCACTTCAGGCTCAAATTGAAAGCGACACTATTAGGTAGTTTTGAGGTAGTGAACATGATTACTCTTCTTTGGTATTTCATTCATTGTGTCAGACGAACATGTTCACTATATGTGGGTATATCAAACTCCGTCATCCACCAAATCACTGTTTGAATAAAATATACAAACATACAATAAGGTCCCGTTAACGAGGAAGCCTTGTTTAAATAACATTTTCATTATATGCTACCTTCCGCTGCTGACAGTACCCTCTGTAACGACCTTGAAGTGTTGTGCCGTTTACTACAACCGATCAGTGTCGGTCCAATACATAGCTGAGCCGGTTGGTTGCGTCAGCGGTCGGTTTGTTGGGATTCACCTCAATCCGGACTGGTGTAACACCGTGGTGCAAGGAGCGCCCAGCGTCCCGGCGCCGGCCGGCACCGCGCAGTTCCGAAATCGGCCGCCCCAGCCGCCGCCGCGCCGCCGCAAGGACGTCCGTTTATGAGTGTGTGTGTGTATGTGTGTGTGTGTGTGTGTTTTGTGCAATCACCACGAATTGAGAGGCCTCTCCGGTCGGCTGTCATTCATGGCGCGGCTGACTGTGACCTCTGAGAGTGGGGAGGGGCTGCCAAGGCCGTCGGAGCCCGGTGCTGCGCGCGGGCCGGTACTCCATACCGCCGGTACCCAGCCTATAAACACGCCGGGACGAGGCGGCCCGGTCCGTACTCCATACCGCCGGCAGCTGCGGCGCGGGCCGGTACTCCATACCACCGGCACCCACCCTACCAACACGCCGGGACGAGGCGGCGCGGGCCGGTACTCCATACCGCCGGTACCCAGCCTACCAACACGCCGGGAGGAGGCGGCACGGACCCACGGCCGCTCACTTTTACCGGCCGTCAGTGTTGTTGACATGATACGTGGGAAAATGACATGAGATGGCCAGCTGAGCCGAGTTTAGGCAATGGCGACACGTTGAAATAACGTGGGATTTGGCTGAAGGTCAAAGATGTTGTTATGTCTTAATCCATGTTATTCAGGGTATACTGCTTGCATTATTTCTCAGGGTGCTGCAAGTCGTTATGTCGATGTCAGCAGTCATTCTGTTGTGGTCGAAATGTCTCTGCAATAAATCCTTGCAGCGATTATAACAAGGTCTGCATTTTGCAGTGACCTATCCAAAGACGCTTACCGACTACTGTATGTGCATCTGATCGTGCATGATACGACTAATGACTGATGTAAACACTCTCCACACACCATATACGGAAGTTCTGGCGATGTCACAGATCTTTGCAATGTGATTGATGGTAGCCCATTGTCGTGGGCCTGACTAATAGCTATAACTGTGCTGAGACTGGCGTTTACTTTGTCTGTGATATATCCGACGCTATACCTGTGATGCTGCTGATGTGACGCGTCTGACGTTACCCGTGATGCGGCTGACATTACCTATGATGTGTCTGATGTAATGTGTCTGACATTACCTGTGATGCGAATGATGTGATATGTGACGCGTCTGACGTTACCTGTGATTCGGCTGATGTGACGCGTCTGGCGTTGCCCGTGATGTGGCTGACGTGGTTTATGATGATGTATCTGACGTTACACGTTACCTGTGATGCGGCTGATGTTGCCCTCCAGCTCCTGTCCGGTGAAGCCCGATACGTGGGCGCCCAGGGAGAAGCCGATCAGATGGATGTTGTCCAGGGAAGCGCCGTGTCTGCGGGAACACATACAGTGTCAGAGGCGGCGGACAGTACACAGGCCACGGTAGCGACGGTGTCAGAGCCGTTATACAGTACACAGTACAGAGGTCAGCAGAGACGGTGTCAGAGCCGTTATACAGTACACAGGTAAACAGAGACGGTGTCAGGGCCATTACACAGTGCACAGGCAAACAGAGACGTTGTCAGAGCCATTACACAGTACACAGGTCAGCAGAGACGGTGTCAGAACCATTACCTACACAGTACACAGGTATACAGAGACGGTGTCATAGCCGTCACACAGTACGCAGACCACGGCAGAGACGGTGTCAGAGCCGTCACACAGCACACAAGTCAGCACAACTGGAATAACGCAACAAACGCCACAGCGCAGCTCAAACCACTGCGCAGTGCACACTCCATGCACCTTATATCAACACATTCTGCCGTCGAACAATAGTCACGTTGGCATACCACGCTCCACGAGTTTAGATGTTAGCTTAAGAAGTGGTGTGACATGGTGTCAAACATTACATATTCGCTATTACGCATACATAACAGATATTGGCAGGCGGCACACGTTACCACGCCGTGCAATCGGTGTCACAGACGTGTCAAATACACGCTCCAGCGCCCGCACTGACGGCTCAAACAGGCCGTGTCGGCGCCACGGCACTGTTTCACAAGCACTTCGTGGCATACGCGAGACAATTAAGCTCGATGCGTGAATGCGGGCGTTTCGACACACACACGCTCTGTGTCTCTGACGTCGGCGCGAGACACGGGTTCAGCAGAGCGTTACAGACTGAATAACTACTTCCTGGATTACCCCAGTCCACATTCCGTGACCAAGTTCCGTAAAAAGCAGCTCGTTATGGGAATTTATGATGCCACGCCATTCTACGGTCATTCTTTATTTCATGCTCACGTATGTAGATACAGTGTGCAAACTTCATGACTTTTTAGTTTATGCCGGCTTACATTGTCATGCAAAATGATTCGCCACAAGAAAGCACTTAACAAATACTCATTTGCTCAACTATGCGTGTGTGACAGTATTTTCACAAGAGCTATTACTTCATGTGTGCAAGTGTTTTTCAGTCATTTTGATCTCGTTATTCTCCCTAATAAATCTTGAGCCATTAATGCTATAGACCCCAATTTAATCTTACAACCCCTGCCGTAATACAATTGCCTCATGAGCCAGTGGGTACCAGGTACTGATCGCACGCAATGCCACCCGTTCCCCCATCTTGTGCCTATCCGTGGGGCGTTTCCGCCCAGCGAGCTTCGTATGGCTTTGTTTGGTGCTGCGGCTCCCGTCGAGTTGTGGTTCAGTCGTCTGCGCCACCGCAGTCTCGGCTCCATGATGGCTTTGTTTGTAGCAGGTGTCTCGACCAAGGCTGTCGCTTTGAGAAACGCTGGAAGTCGGGGACAACTATGACTAGGGACAACTATGACTAGTGGCTTTGAGTGGCTTCAGTTTTCCAAATAAGCTCGTTAAAAACTTACTGGTTACTTATATCTAATGTGGCTTTTGAAAGACACGTGAGTTTTTCTATTGATAAAATTCATAACTACATATGTAGTTTTTAAAAGGTTTGGATTTGCTTTAACGACAAGAAGCCTGGAAGCGCTTTGCAATCGGTCATATGTTAAGTTATATTAATATTTAGTATTACCGGGAACAATTGAGTGCTTCAACGTTACAAGTAACTACACGCTTGACTGAGGTTTTTCAGCATGCAACAATTATTATTTCCCGTGTTCAGTTCATAATTCAACGGTAAGTTCTAAGTGCACTTACCGTTGGATTATGAACTGATCACGGGACAAATAGGATTGAAGCTGAATATGTGCATTTTGATTCATGATACTGTATAAAAAGGATCAGAAATAAGAATACCTACTTTCATAAGCAGTCTCCATTGAATGGTGTTATTCGGGTTTGCAGCGCTGCAAGCACAGTGCCTCTAAATTTCCAGAGATGCTTTGGTGTGCGCGGCACTGTGGTGTAGAATCCGCACTCAGAGTGCTACTCTTCTGTGCATAGCACTGCAGTGTCTCTGAGACCAAGACCTCTCGCACGTTGGGCAATGACATGCGTAGTATGTAAGCCATGATGATGGTCCCTGACCGGTCCCCCGAGTGTTGATATAACCGTGTGCGTACCGTGGTCTCTCTCCACTGGCGATACTTTGGTGTGTGTCATAGAGATCTTATGTTATATCTCTATGGTGTGCGTACTGTGGTCTCCCTCCACTGGTGATAGTGTTATGTGCGATACTGCAGTCTCCCTACATTGTTGATATTGTCGTATGTGGTACTGCAGTCTCTCTTTCTATTGGTGATAGTGTTATGCACTATCACCAATATATACTATGCACAGTCTCCCTACATTGGTGCTACTGTCGTGTGCAATACTGCAGTCTCCCACTATTGGTGATAGTGTCGTGTGCGGTACTGCAGTCTCCCTCCATTGGTGATAGTGTTATGTGCAATACTGCAGTCTCCCTCCATTGGTGATACAGTCGTGTGCGGTACTGCAGTCTCCCTCCATTGGTGATACAGTCGTGTGCGGTACTGCAGTCTCCCTACATTGGTGCTACTGTCGTGTGCAATACTGCAGTCTCCCACTATTGGTGATAGTGTCGTGTGCGGTACTGCAGTCTCCCTCCATTGGTGATAGTGTTATGTGCAATACTGCAGTCTCCCTACATTGGTGCTACTGTCGTGTGCAATACTGCAGTCTCCCTACATTGGTGCTACTGTCGTGTGCAATACTGCAGTCTCCCACTATTGGTGATAGTGTCGTGTGCGGTACTGCAGTCTCCCTCCATTGGTGATAGTGTTATGTGCAATACTGCAGTCTCCCTCCATTGGTGATAGTGTTATGTGCAATACTGCAGTCTCCCTCCATTGGTGATACAGTCGTGTGCGGTACTGCAGTCTCCCACCATGCATTGGTGCTACTCTTGTGTGTTATACTGCAGTCTCCTTCCATTTTGTTGTATGTTCCTGTTGACGTTTGCGATGCTGCAGTCTCCGTCTTCCGGTGCTACTATCATGTGCCGTGTTCAAGCCTTGAAGTTTCTTTAGCGTTTCTATCTTTGGTCTTTCTGTTTTATGTGAAATTTGCGCATAAAAGGTCTAGTAGCTCCTAGTTATAGCTCCTCCGTTAATAAAAAATAAGTCTCTAATAATATCTTTCCAAAAGTGTTCCGAAACAAAAACACAGCACCGCAGGCTGTTCACCAAGCGATTACCGCTACTCTGGACAGGAGCACATTACGTCTCTAGACCTATAGCCGCTGAGCGCTGACGCGATTTCTCTGAACAGGGACGCGGCCCGCCCGCGGTGACCGCCGGCCGCTCACTGTTGACCAATAGCCAGGTGTGTAAGGTGTGGCACGACGGCAGTAAGGCCGGCGAACGTTGCAGAGCCGTTTCACAACACCGCTCGCCGTCCTGCATCGATGAGTACATATGATCGCGGCCTCAGCATACCGTCCGAGCGGTCCTGACCTACCTCTAAATCAGCCATTTGTTATAAGTCGTCCCTATCATGCTTAGGAGCCCCATACCAACTGTTGTCTGTGATGGCATGTACTGGTGGTTTTCAGAATATACAGCTCTTTCTCGGGTTACAGCAGTTGTCCGCTTCCATGGCTACCACCCTTCAGTGTGCCTACTGAGCTCTGGATGCAGGTTTCGCCCGGGTGCGAGAGAGCAGCTTTTCATTGGCGACGTGCCCAGTGACTGGGAGGAGAGCCGTGACGGCCGAGATGGGGCTCTTCCGTGACCGGGGGCCCTCGGACCGCGGGTCGCGGGATCTCCGCCACTCGCCTCCTCACGACTTCACAGGCCAATTGATTATGGCATGCCGATCACGGTTATGACGTGTTGTCGCCGACCCGCGACCTGTGACCTGTTTGGCCGACGCTGACCTGCAGCGTTTGCATCCTCACCTGTTAACCAGCTGCTTGATGAGCAGTGCCACCTGCCGTCCCACCAGCCGCGTGTTGACCGCCGCTCTCATGTAGTTCGGCGTGGCAGCGCCCTTGTCCCAGTGCACGCAGATCACATTGCAGTCCAGCTGTAGATAGAGAGAGGGAGAGAGTCAGGTACAGACCAAGTAACGGACGATCCGAAAATGATTCAAGAACCACACCTAAGGTCTCATATTGGGTTTGACATATTACGTTCTTATATGACCTAATGATGGGATGTGAAATTAGATTATACTCTTGACGTGTGAAATTCTTGCATTGGTAGAATGCCTGCAAAACTGGCGCACATATTACAGAGCACATGTGTAGCTCTACGTATTTCTGCAGCTTCCAGCGACATATTTTGTAATTGTTTACTAGAGTGTTAAGTGATTACAAGCAAGCCGTGTCGATAATGAGGGCGTCACGGCCGATGGGCACCCGCCCGTCCCCGGCAGCTCGGAGCGGCAGCGGCAGATGGACAGAGGCTCTCCGCGCTGCAGCGGTGGTCGGCACACCGCTCGTCCCGCCCTCCCCGGTCAACCGCGGCGCCGTTCGGTCACTGGTGGTCCCAGCTCCGGTCCGGTCCGGCGCGCACAAAACACCGCCCGGAACCGAACGGTCCGGTGGGTGTCGGGCGTCCTCGGCGCCCGCTCCGCGCCACCGCGCCGCAGCTGTGCCGTCCGCGCCGCAGCTGTCTCTGTTTCGCCGCCGCCGCCGCCGCTCGCCGTTTGCGTCATATCTGCCGCGGTCAAGAGCAGCAGCGGCACCGGCGCGACGGGTCGGCGCTGATAGAGCGGCCGCTTCATTACCAAAGCCGCACCGCCAGCCACACAAGGTCGCCAGCCGTGCCGTTGCCATGGTGACCGGTCGTACGCACGCGATGGCGCAACGCTCGAACTGGCCCCATGTGACGCTGCCAGGGCTGTGGTGACAGCGCCGCCGAGTGTGCAGCAGAGGACGGCACAGAAACTTCCAGCAGCGTGGGCGCGATGTCCCAAACTAACTGGTTTGTAGACACCTAAGAATGTTCGTTATGGGCTGCCACGAACGTCTGGAGCGGTTGGATTGCTCAAGTCTATGAAGTAAGTATGTCAAGTTCATAATGTAACGTTTTGTGAAATATGGGACAAATCTGCTCGTCTCTATGTCAAAAATAAACTGATGTGGTCTTTCTACACACCAGCGGATTATGTTTTACCTCGCATTCACTAATGCCCTCGAAGTAGGCCGGTTAGCACATAGACCAGCTAGTCGCTGCTCACCTGCCAGAGTTCACTTAATGGTTAAATCGGGTGAGACATCGCTGGATCTTCTGTGAGCCCTAGTGACATAGACTCATACTCTTAGCTTTTACCTGTAGAGGGTCGCATCATTGACGCGCATTGTCGAGAACTGCCTTCGACACAGATCTGTTTTACAATCCGTCACGCTTTACTCTAATACCTATCACACGGCACCATTGATATCTTTGTCAGCTACCACTTGACACGTGGTCGAAGCATGGATTAGAGATTTCCTGGATCGGCAACTCTCCGTCGGCGCCTTTGATGTAAGCGACCACGGCTGGCCACCTAGCGGCGGAGTGGTGAAGCTTGGTGAGATAGGACGGCGGAGGGTTGGGCGCTAATCCCTGTGGTAAACTGCGGGCCAAGATCAATCGAATTTAGGGATTGAACGGCTGGGTGCGGTGCGTTAAAACGAAGTTATGGTGTCGGGAACGTCCAGTAAGTCCATATTTGTCCTCAACGAAGTAATCGGACCATTGGGGTAAGACATTTTGTCTCGGCAGAGGACGTGCATGCCCAGTCGCCAAGCTCTTATGCCGGCGTAAAATGCACGCATCACCATCTTTTGATACACACTGTTCAATCTTTTCCATCCTCAGGATAGTCAAATCCTTTTCCTCCACGCCTCAACCCCCTGATCCGGGCTGGGCGGGCAACTTTATCCCATGCGGGCAGCTCCGCCAGAGCACACCCGTAACCGGGTGCAGAGAGTACGTACCTACTTGGGAGGCTGGTCGGCCCGTCCATTCGGACGGGCTCACTAGAGTGCCTGCCAAGACCAATGTCTCCCCCTAATTCTAATCATCATAGGCGGCGGAATGGGGGGGGGGGGAGTTGGAGTACCGTACCCCCTTTGATTTTGGCATTTTAACATTAGCCCCATGGGCGTTGCATGGAAAGAATGGGATCAAATGTCGGCAGTTCCCCTTTATTGAAGTTGTCCCACCGCCACTGCCTATCATCGTTCCGGCTCTGAACTGGTCTCGTCAGACCGAAAGGGCCTAACCCAACAAAACAAACAAAGAAACAAATCACTTCGCTATAAAATAATCTCGGAGCCGCGATTTCGGCACTAACGGGCTCTTCTTACTTCAGCACGTCAAATGCTATATTCTTTGCTTGGTGGATGGATACCTAAGGTCAACTCGAGTGTGGACCAGGTTACATTATGGAACACTGATCTAATCTGATCTACACTGATCTAATAGGTCAAGATCAGTCAGATCAAAGTCACTAAGGTCACGAAGTTGGTTGAAGGAGGTTGTATTGCATTCCTATCATTCGATTCAATGGTCTTCCTGAGTCCATTGATGGCTTTTGCGACTCGCTAACTCGATTTGATGAGATCACTTCCGGCGCCAAAATAACAGTTTCCATAGTTCCCCGCAATGACATAGTGGCTTATAATGGTGAGGTCATGTTAGCGACCTGACCTCAGGTGCCCTTTAAGAAAAATCCAATATATACAAGTAAAGAGGTCTTGGGAGCAGGGCTGCGGAGTCCGGAGTCGGTCGGAGTCGACAGTTCTGACCGGGGCCGGAGTCGGAGTCGATTTTGCGAACCGGAGTCTAGCCGCCGAAAATCCATCGACTCCGCAGACCTGGCAAGGCTGCAGAGTCGGAGTCGAAGTTGAAGTCGGTCGGAGTCGACAGATCTGCCCGGAGTGGGAGTAGAAGTGGGAGTCGGAGTCATCGAAAATCCATCGACTCTGCAGCCCTGCTAAGTTTCATCTTCCAGTGAAAATCGTCTGGCACTGAGGGCGTTGCGAAGTTGCAGCACTGAACTATTTTAGGACCGTGCAGAACGGCAGAGGTTTACGTATGACGTCATGGTCAGTGATCTGACCCGACCTGAAAATGTGGTTGATTTCACAAGATCCGGCTTGAATCAAAGGCCTGGTGTTCCAAGTTTCAGCTCTTTATCCCCAGCGCCATACGATCAATCGCGAAAAAACCGTCAGGGTGGGGCGACGCCTGAGTGACCCGCCCCCCTCCCCGTGTTAAAGTTAAATCCTTCTCAACTCATAAAGATTATGAAAAACAGTGCCGTTATCCTTTATCAGTTGAACTTCGAAGATAAACTGCTCAAAAACCACCCAACCACCCCGTCCCATGATTGGAACGCATAGCCGCCAAACACCGGCGTCCTATCTGGAGTTGGCGCATGCGCACTGCGATATTTGGTCGCGAATCGGTGGAGAGTTGCCAATCCAGTAAATACTTCATCCATGGTCGAAGTTCCCCATCAGCGCTCCGCCTCTCGCCACTGAGTCTGAGTCGGTCAGCTCGCTGACTTGCTGAGCTGCCGATGAGCTCCCGAGCGCGGTCAATGGCCAAACGTGCCGGCAGCTGGCCGACCGGAGACCGACGAACCGGGTCAGCAGACGACCGGCCGCGCGTGGCCGCACTTTTCCGCCGACAGCTGGCGCTCAGACCTCCCTGCTTCTATAGTCGCTACAACGCTGCCGCGTCAAATTGGGCCTCAGTGTGACAGAGCAATCCACAGAGCACCATGCTGGTCCCCAGAGCATCACATCGGCCCTAAGTGCCCCACATTTGTCAGCTGTCTTGTCACCAAATGAGAATGGTCTGCTGACATTCCACAGTTTGTCACATTAGCCCTATATCTTGCAAAGCTGGTCCCTATAGCTCCAAGCTGAGCATTTTGCAGCATATCGGCCTACTAAGCATTCACATGGATCGACAGTGCGCCACACTGGCCCCCAGTGCGCTACAATGCGGCATACTGGCCCCCAGTGCGCCACACTGGCCCCCAGTGCGCCACACTGGCTCCCTGTGCGCCACACTGGCCCCCAGTGCGCCACACTGGCTCCCTGTGCGCCACACTGGCTCCCTGTGCGCCACACTGGCCCCCTGTGCGCCACGGCAGTGCCGAGCGGCGATGGTCGCGGTTCGCTGGCCGTCCTGGGGGAGTGGGCCGTGAGCGCCGTATTTCCTAACGTGCCCACACGATGACGAAACACAGCGACACCCGGGAGCGGGACCAGGGAACGTGACGATCGCCGACCGCGTGTGTCGCTGTCCACTGTCCACTGTCCACTGTCCAGTGTCTGTCCACTGTCCACTGTCCACTGACCACCGTCCGCTGCCCACTGACCACTGTCCACTGTCTACTGTCCGCTGTCCTCTGCCCATTGTCCACTGACCACTGTCCTCTGCCCATTGTCCACTGACCACTGTCTACTGTCCACTGTCCACTGTCCACTGTCCACTGTCCTCTGCCCATTGCCCACCATTCACTGTCCGCTGTCCATCGTACACCACTTCTGTCCACTGTCCGCTGTCTACTGACCACTGTCGCCTTCTAGCACCTTTAGGTGGAGCTTGCAGTGACCTTCACCCAACTTCTTAGTAATCTGATGGCGAAGGCATTGAAGCTTCAATAGAATGTTACAGTGACCTCTTAGGCTGATGGTGTCCTAAGTGTTGCCTTACAGTGACCTGATTATCACTGACATTGTCCTGCGAACTCAGGTCCCTCACAATTACCTCATAAATATTTCACATTGACCCTTCAGTGACCTAACAATGACCTTGAAATGACCTTGTATCTGCCAATCACAAGTCTCTGAGCCAGAGAGCTGAGCCCGCTTCGGTTTGGTTCAGCCTCAGAGAGGCAAGCACCTGGCGTTATCACTGATGCGTGCTCAATCTGAACCGTTCTCTCGGCACGAAATCAGCCGTGACGCCGTCACGGGGGCCCAGTGACGCCAGTGTAACGTCACAACAACAAACTCCGCCGGAACGTAAAGGATTTGTCCCATTCATCTGGCTCTTATGAAGTGTCACAGGTCGTCTGGACCATGATGACGGCTGGAACTGGTTTGATTAAAATAAAATATGATTATATAAGAAAGTGAGACGTGTTTCGCGCCATCCGGGACAAAATTCATTCTATTGAAAAAATCAATAGTGTTGGATCTCTTTTGCAGCACCTAATAATGTTAGGTTCTCAACGACAAACAAATCATATCATCAATAGCTTGCACAATTACTTACACATTTGATGAGACAATCAAGGCATATAAGTGATGGATTAACATACGAAAGAACCAACACTTGCTGGGGCAGCTGTTCCAAATCACACTGATGACGTAAAAACCAGCTCTGATGCAGCGTATCTGGGCGGAAGCGAATGACGTCAGCAACTAGCCAATGCTGTTTGAGCTTCAGACCTCGACTGGCTGCCCAGTCCCGTGTTATCACCTGCGCAAGAAGCATGCGGAGGCCGCCAGCGCCCACTCTGCCTGAACGGGCGGCAGCCTAATGCGGGCGGATGTGGCCTGCAGGATCTGGCGAGTTGGTCGCTAGTGCGCTAGCCGGGAGATCAAAACTATCCGAGCACTAGCGGGACAGCTGGATAGCACATAGAGCACTATATGATGGCTATAGGATGACCGGGACAGACTTAGACGGGAGTGCAGAGTACGATGGAACTAGGAGGGTATAGATGATGGAAGTCGAACCGGGGAAGATTGGACCGAAACTGAGCACAGCCGAGTAGCTTGGACCGAGTTAGATCGTTCTGGTACTTTGATACTGAAGATTGATTAGTGCCGTTCGTGGAGTGATCCCGAGTCATCACCCATAACAATTTACAATGTCGTCATTGTTTCAGACTCAGAGTGTCTTCAGATCAGTTCAATCTCTAGATTGTGACAGCTCAGCTTGAAGTCAGCTGTGCATGATGCGACGGGTTTTACTTGCTCTCACTTGCTTACTTGTTGGGGTTTCTTGATCTCTCAGTCGAGCAGCGGTATGATGCATCAGATAAATCACCTCCTAGGTATGCAAATAATGCAGATCTTATATTTCTTGCTGGCATGTAACTCAGTATAACAATATTTTACATCAGCATCTTATCAGCTTCTTTTTACATCTTAATGCATAGAAATAGCTTCATTTCTCATTTTGGAGATCCGGCGAAAGAGTTTAGCATGAGAGTATAAAAACATAGGCACTCAAATATTTACTTTGACATTATCGTTTTGATTGCACGAGAACACGAGACACAGTAAGCAGCTCACGTCTCAAATATCTAGGGGAAGCGGGGGGAACACCGCCACTGTGGGAAACACCGCCACCCCCATCTGGCGGCGAAAGTATGAACTATAAAGTGTAAAAATCCGTTATTTCCTATTAACCGCACGAAGGTAAGCGTCTTCTGATTTGTGTTCCGGTGTTTCAGTGTAATCGAAGCTCATTGTGGGCATTTAAAGAAAAATGCACATTCTCTTATAAAAATTCGATGAGTTGGGAGCACTTTTGAATGTCTTTAAGTAGAGACTCATTTTGATTTACTTGATTACATCGAAAAATAACTGATCGGCTTTGTCCAGTAAGATAGGTTTGCTTGAACCGTGTAGTACATTCTTGCCGCTGGCGATTTTTGCTTGTGATCACTTATTGGGGAACACCGCCACCCCGTGGCGGTGTTACCCCAATTGAGGTTGCGGTGTTTCCTGTTCGTAGCGTGATAAGTGATGAAATTCCAAAGACACGCTTTATTTATGTTCGTAGATGTTCCTAAGTCGGGAATAAGCAGCTTATTTGACTTTTTACTTTATATTTTTCATGCATCCCGACCAAGCACTTGCCAGCTGTATAAAACTGGCAAACAGCTGATGAACCTATACCTATTTAGGTGTCCATTACCGATTATTTGCGAAAATTACCACTTACCGACAGGAAACTCATCGCACGCGATCTCTGAACAATTAAAAGCTTTCGTAGGGATGGGTTGGGTTAACATCAACACCGGTGGCGGGGTTACCCACACAATTTGTAGGCGGCAAATATGCAAGGTATTTTTAAAAGTCGTGATACATGAAAACCTTTTAGGAGCATGCAAAATAAGTACCTAAAACACGTGAGCAAATGTTTAAATATTGTAACCAAGACAATAACTACCAAGAGACTTCACACATATTCTCTCATTTTGGCGAAAAGCTTAGGGGGGGCGGTGTTACCCCCGCTTCCCCTATTCCGTGCCCCTGCATATCAGCGGTGGGTTGCCTTTCGCGTCGGGACCTAGGGCCGGCGCTGCTGGGTTTCTCCGCGTCATACGATAAGCTGCCGAGGGTCCGGCTTCGCTCGACGTCACTGTGACCCGACTGGGAGTTACGCCACCGCACCGCCGGAGGTCCCACTGCAGCTGACCCTTCGCTGGCCACGACCCGGGACGTGACTGACGCATATCGCAAACAGCGCGGGGCTGTGCACGCAATGGCCCGCTGACGTCCCGCGAGCGCGTGCCGCCTGTTGATGGCCTCGTAAGGTCAACGGATAGGCTAGTTGGTTACTAGCTACTATTGGGACAAGCGCTATAGCCTGTGAGCGAAAAGCTAGTTGAAACCCTCATTCTGTGCCTCAGAGAACGACGCTGCCATGACAACAGGCCTTGCTCGGAAATCGAACCCGGACGGCGGACAGCTTTCTCATGAGACAGGGAATTGTGATTACTGGTTTCTTCAGTGTGATTGTGATTATGAAGACAAGCGCAGGCAAAATCATTATACCTGGCAGTCCCTGCACTGTGGGGGAGCATGTCAACACATCATGAGCGGCGCTCTATGTACGTTGTACAGGGCCCGGCGGCCCGGCCGAGCGAGAGGGGACTGTGAGCGGCGCTCTATGAACAGGTCCCGGGCCCGGCCGAGGAAGGCGGACTCACCGTGAAGAGCAGAGCCTCGCGCATCTCGTGCGCCCAGACGCGGTTGCAGCTGCTGCCGAAGCCGTGGATGATGACCTTGGTGGGCAGCGAGCCGTTGAAGCGGCTGATGTCCAGCGGGCCGGGCCGGTACGGGATGACCTGCGCCAGGTGCTTGTTGGTCGGCCCGTAAAACATGAACGTGGTGCCGATCTGAAACAGCGGGAGGGGCAGCGGTTATGGACAGAAATGGCTGAATATGAATGTCATGGTAGCTACTCGAACGGATTGCTTGAAAAAAATATTAAGCCCAATGCCGAAACGCTGCGTAATAACATCTCATCAACGAAATATAAAAAATAGAGAAAACAATGAAGTAAATCAGCGTTTATAATCGTATTACGTATGTAAGTTCAAGTCGGAGAGCCCGTTTGAGCCTTCGTACCTCCTCGGGCGGTGATGGCAGCATGTCCAGGTAGTCGAAGGGCCCGCTGTCCCGGAAACAGCCGAGCTCCTTGTAACAGACCACCTCCTCATCGCGCTTAAAACGCCTGAAAAAAGAAAAAAGGTAAAACGTAACCGAAACTGCTCTGCCGATGCTTAGTCGCAAGATTGCTTGACATCTTTGACTTAATTAACATGGTTAAGAGTCACGTGTCAAGAATTGACAATTGCGCCACCTTTTTATAAGGATCTTAGAGTTGACATCTGACTCGTAAACGGCATATGTATATCATTCATGTAGGGGAAGCGGGGGGAACACCGCCACTGTGGGAAACACCGCCACCCCATCTGGCGGCGAAAGTGTGCAATGTGAAGTGTAAAAATCCGTTATTTCCTATTAACCGCACGAAGGTAAGCGTCTTCTGATTTGTGTTCCGGTGATTCAGTGTAATAGAAGCTTAATGTGGGCATTTAAAGAAAAATGTACATTCTCTTATAAAAATTCGATGAGTTGGGAGCACTTTTGAATGTCTTTAAGAAGAGACTCATTTTGATTTACTTGATTACATCGAAAAATAATTGATCGGCTTTGTCCAGTAAGATAAGTTTGCTTGAACCGTGTAGTACATTCTTGCCGCTGGCGATTTTTGCTTGTGATCACTTATTGGGGAACACCGCCACCCCGTGGCGGTGTTACCCCGATTGAGGTGGCGGTGTTTCCTGTTCGTAGCGTGATAAGTGATGGAACTCCCAAAGAGACGCTTTTTTATGTTCGTAGATGTTCCTAAGTCGGGAATAAGCAGCTTCTTTGATTTTTTACTTTATATTTTTCATGCATCCCGACCAAGCACTTGCCAGCTGTATAAAACTGGCAAAAAGCTGATGAACCTATACCTATTTAGGTGTCCATTACCGATTATTTGCGAAAATTACCACTTACCGACAGGAAACTCATCGCACGCGATCTCTGAACAATTAAAAGCTTTCTTAGGAATGGGTTGGGTTAACATCAACACCGGTGGCGGGGTTACCCACACAATTTGTAGGCGGCAAATATGCAAGGTATTTTTAAAAGTCGTGATACATGAAAACCTTTTAGGAGCATGCAAAATAAGTACCTAAAACACGTGAGAAAATGTTTAAATATTGTAACCAAGACAATAACTACCAAGAGACTTCACACATATTCTCTCATTTTGGCGAAAAGCTTAGGGGGGCGGTGTTACCCCCGCTTCCCCTAAAGCATTTTGACTTAACTCTGTAAAACGCCAGTGATGTGATTTGTGCGTTTTTCAAATTGGTATTAGTTGAGGTTATTATCACTCATCATCACGGGTGACTTCTGATGGGAGTGATCATAGGCCAACAGTCCATGTGGCCGTACAGCTAATATCCCGCTTACATAACCGCAATCACCTATTGTTTTCCAATGTCGACATCCCGCTCGATGCGTTAGACTGATCCCCCCTGGCGACTGGAGTGTGAACATTCCAGGGAGCGTCGAACACCGCGGGCAATAGATATTGTGCGTGCCTTGCGTAACTCTGCCATTTCTACCTTCATACAGAGCTCATTGGTGAGACCTAGAACGTAACTGCGCTGTCGACAAAGTCGAGTACGGCTTTGTACCTAGTTATTTCCCTAGTTGCGGCTCTGTTATTCCTGTTTGCATTTGCTCGTGTGGTGCACATTAAACAATGTTTATCAAGATAATATCAAAGGTAGCGTTCTGCCTGTTGTTTGATTCAGCGGTGCAGCGTTTGCGCTGGTCTCAAATTCGTAGCCTGGATCTGAAGAGCACCGTTTCTTACGGCGCAGAGCTGCACACTCGCGACACAGAGCAGAAGCGGCTCGGCGGACGCTCGGTCCAGTGACGCCAGCCGCGCGCCCCGCCGCCCCGGCTCCCGCGTGTCGCGTGGTGTTTTCATTTTAGCTGACTGGCTGCCGGTCGCCGCGGCTGTCACCAGAGAGCAGAGCGCCCACCCTGCGTCACACACCTGCGGCGGAAACCGGCAGGGCAGGCCGCTGCAGTCCAGTGAGCTGGCGGTACGAGACGGAGCACGGACCGGAATAGACCGGAATAGGTCGAACCCGGGCGATCTGCCCGGCCGATACCGGACGGGGGAGACGGGGAGGGGATCCGGGCGGACCATCACAGACCGGAACGGGCCATTGACAGACCAGGATGGATCACAGGGAGACCTGGAGGGACCACCCGAAGGCCTGGAGGAACTACCGCGACATTTGGACGGACTAAAATGAGAGGAAAAGACATGAGAGGACAATAAACACAAACAGAGATAGGGCTGCACCACACTTGGACCAAGACCTGTCGTCTAGTGACCTGAAATGGCTGTGGCCCGTCCTGGCCGCGCAATACGGGGTCCGAGTACGATGGTAGGCCTGTGCGGGTGGTCGGTCTGTCCGGTTAGTCTGTGCGTATATACGGGGTGGCCCGTGCGGGTGGCGGTCGGGCCGGTTCGGCGCTAGTCTGTCCGGTTATTCCGTCCGGGTTCTCCGCTCCGAGCGCCGCTGACTCACTGCTCCGACCGGAAACGTGCGCTCGTGCGCTGTGACAGGCGCCGGACGGGGATCAGTGACACAGAGCGTGCACGCCGCGATAGGCACAAAAGGAAACCAGCCTCTCCGGACTGGTGGACACTGAGCCGGAGAAATGAGTCCGGGCTGTACCGGCGTGGCAGGGACAAATTCGGCGCAGAGTAACGCCTACATATGACAGGTGATACCATCACACGGATCTCGCTGAGTACTAACAAGCGCAGTAGTAGTCACTTTCCAATGCAGATTATGTTTTCTGGAGACAAGTACCAGCTGTAGTTTTCATCTTAATAAGCAGCCATAATAAAAACAACACTCCTGAAACACAAACGGACTGAAAGTGAAACTCGCAGACCACGTTACTAGTCCGGCCGGCGCGGCGGCGGGACGGAGGCCGCTCGTCGACCGCTCATGTGTTATGTATGGAGGGCGTCGGCGGCCGACCGGCCGGCTGTGGACGCCTGTTCACCGCCCAGGGGCTCGGCTGGACAGGCTCGCACTGTAGGTGTTACAGGGGTAGCTGCGGCGCTGGCGCAGGAGCTAACAATGATTTACAGTGGCTGTTGTAAGCCGAAGCTGGTGGCTTAATAGCAAGAACGACTCATGTTCGCCTAGTCAACAGAGAGATTCGAGCCTCTTAAATAGAATACGTAAGTAAAGCTACTGATGAAGGTCCCTATCACCCCTTGTTGGTCTTACACATGGTCGCAGTTCAAATGTTTGTCTCGTTTGGCGCCAGGCCAGAGTTGTGGTCAAAGTTCACTCTCGCTCGCTGGTCCTACCTCTCCGGGCAATCAGCCAGCCTCTCCGCTCAGACCGCCCGCTGGCAGCCACGCTAATTCAATAGAGAGCTGGTTTCAGCCGCCTCCTCTGCGGGCCAGCGCGATAGACGGGCACGATCTGCCCTCGGGCAGCCTGTCTGCCTCTCTCTCTCTCTCCCTCTCTCCCTTTCCCTCAATCTCTCTCTCTCTCCACTTCTCTATCTCCCCTTCTCTCTCTCCCCCTCTCTCTCTAGCTCTTACAACTGCCTACGTCAGTAATTATATTCAGGTATCCAGTAATTTGATTCATTCCCAAAGCACGTAACTGCACGCAAAAGTAACGAAATGCAACATCGTTTACCACTGCTATCACCTCATTTCAATTCTTGACCCACCTGCGTGATTTCTTCTTGCCCATGCGTGTGGCGTATTCTCTCATGGTCTCTACGACGCTGTAGAGAATCTCGTCGTCGTTGGCCTCATCGTACACCTCCAGGTTCGGGTGTGAGAACAGACGGAAGTCGCCGACGTTCGTCGACGACGGTGACGGCGAGAACTTCTCGGCCGAGGACGAGAATAGCGCGGCAGTGGCCGGCGCCGCTCCCGTCAAACACAGACCTGTGGAGCGGAGGGGGGGGGGGGGGGAGGTCAGACACAGACCTTTGGCCAAGTGGCCGGCGCCAATCCCGTCAAACACAGACCTGTGGAGTGGAGGGGGATGGTCAAACACAGACCTGTTGAGCGGAGGGAGAGGGTCAGACATAGAATAAAGGACTCATAGAAAAGGTCATAAATAACTCACTTTCATGAGAGATATCGAGCTGTTTGAAATTGGACTTGGAAGTCTATTACACTGTATTGCCGTTGCATTGATTCCATTCCAGGTAATAAACATTACTGTGTGGGGAACGAAATTCAATCTGTAGGCTCTAAGCTGTCACAGGAGTGGCTGGATCATTATTTATGTGCTAAAGATCCATTTTGGAGGCGAAGCGGTCCCGGCAACGACACAGCTGCATCGGCCGAGAATGCCGGCACCACCACACACGGTCGCCAGGCTGGTTGTTGGACAGAATGACGCAAAACCACGGGAAACTTCGTCCGGAGTTCCCATTCTAGAGAGTGATGGTGACCAGGACCAATCAACGTGTCATGCACTTATGCAATGTGGGGAGAGCACGGCAATTTCCTGAGTTCACATTCGCATGCAAAGGACGTTCCCTTTAACTTAACAGCGTCAAAGCCAGTGACGTCAAAATACTAGAAAGCATCACCATTCTCCAATGTCAAAAGTTTGTGCGAGTAGGGAAGGATCAGATAGGATTTCGACAGCCTGTGTTAGTCAGCCTGTTCTCTCCGTTCGGTAAGTCTGTACTCCTATTCTAACCAGCCTGTGATTCGGTCTGCGACCCTTCCCATCGCCTTGGTTTCTCCCGCTGACGGAGGCGCAGGCCGGCGGCCGTTTACCTCAAACCGCACAGGTTTCACCCGACGGAGCGGGGGCGGGGGCGGGGGCGGGGGGCGGGGGCGGGGGCGGGGCGGGGGCGGGAAGGGATGGGCTCAGCTGACAGCCTACCAACAACGCTCCATCACACCGGAGTACAGCGCGGGGCACACCCGCAGACAGACGCAAACAGAATCTCCAGACACAAACAGAGTCCACTCTCTCGGCCGCTGGTCGCCGGCTGGGGGCGGCTCCGGGCGGCGCCCCGCTGGCTCTGACCTGGGTCAGGCCCGGGCCGCCCGACCCACCGCGCCGGCCCGGCCCCTCCGCCACCGAACCCTGCTGTTGACCTGGGGCGCCGTAACGGACCGCTCACCGGGCGGCCACGCGGCTGTTATGTTGATGTGCCCCGGTCGGGAATCGGGACCACATGTCTGTTATGGTGAGGGAGCCCAGGTTGGGACCACATGTCTGTTATGACGAAGAAGCCCCGATCGGGCACGGACGCTCCAAGAGAGGGACAGAGGGGAAGGGGCACGGCAGAAATGGACGGCAGGCGGGCGGCGATTTCCGCATTCTGTGGTCCCAGAACGGGTCGAAGGGATGAAGCAATTAGGAAGGTATTCCGTGCTCTAAATATAGCAGTCAGGTTTACAGGTGCAGCAAGGGAGCAGGGAGAGCGAGATTGAGAGGCCAGAGAGAGAGAGAGAGAGAGAGAGAGAGAGAGAGAGAGAGAGAGAGAGAGAAGAGAGAGAGAGGAGAGAGAGAGAGAGAGAGAGAGAGAGAAGAGAGAGAGATAGAGAGAGAGAGAGAGAGAAGGAAGAGAGAGAGAGAGAGAGAGAGAGAGAGAGAGAAGAGAGAGAGAGAGAGAGAGAGAGAGAGAGAGAGAGAGAGAGAAAGAAGCGAGAGAGAGAGAGAGAGAGAGAGCGAGAGA